ACCAGTCCTTGGTACTATCTCCTTCAGACAGATTACCAGTCCTTGTTACTCTCTCCAACAGACAGATAACCAGTCATTGGTACTATATCTCTCAGACTGATAACCAGTCATTGGTACTATCTCTCTCAGACAGATAACCAGTCCTTGGTAATATCTCTCTCAGACTGATAACCAGTCATTGGTACTATCTCTCTCAGACTGATAACCAGTCCTTGGTACTATCTACCCCAGACAGATAACCAGTCCTTGGTATGATCTCCCCCAGACAGATTTGCAGTCTTTGGTTCCATCTCCCCCAGACAGATACCAGTATTTTGTACTATCTTCCTCCGACAGATAACTAGTCCTTGGTACGATCTCCCCCAGACAGATACCAGTATTTTGTACTATCTTCCTCGGACAGATAACCAGTCCTTAGGACTATCTCACTTAGACAGATAACCAATCCTTGGTACTATCTCTCACAGACAGATAACCAGTCCTTGGTACTATCTCTCACATATTGATAACCAGTCCTTGGTACTATCTCCCACATAGTGATAACCAGTCCTTGGTACTATCTCCCACATATTGATAACCAGTCCTTGGTACTATCTCCCACAAACTGATAACTAGTCCTTGTTGTTGCCATACTTCGATTGATGAACATTCATCCTCCAAAAACCGCTAGAGCGCAACAAAACCCGAAAATAATCATATGTATTACTATTACAATATCAACATCCATCCAACGTTATATGAGTGCATTTTAATCACCTGTATCCCAGCATCCTACAGACAACCATGGCATCCGCATTGTTCCATCCATCATCACAAACTGTACCCCAGCGCTCATCATGATTCACCTCAACCCTTCCCTCGTGTCTTGTCGGGCCATTCACAAGACGTATGTCTACTGGAATGAAAAGAATGGGGAAGATATTTAAAATATTGCCTTTTAATAATTTGTGCACTTTGAAATACTGAAAATCAGAGTGAACCCTTCTGGTAATTTGAATCCAAACTTGTGTATGCCAAGCAAGCTCACCACTGCCACCACTGCTTCCGCAGCTCACTCCTGCATCCTCGCTGTGTCCGCAGTTCTCCACTCCCCATCCACCAAACGTACAGTCGAATATGGACGACTCTGTTCCCGTACATTGCACGTCGTCCATCCATGTGGGTTCTACACCTTGGCCAAAGGCAGCTTCCCTGTGAGCCACTCCTGGCAAGCTGAACAACAAGGCACATAGTTACAGTATCATCTATATTAAATAATATGTATTTTTATGTTTGTTGCAATTATCTACAAGTTCATTCAATCCAAATTATGTTTATGTTGTATCAGGGCTTAATTTATTGAAAGATAGTTTTGTTCTAAATGGATTGTAACACAAGGTAATGTTCTCGGTTGTCTAGTCTGATGTTCGTTCAAATCGAGGGTTAGACTTTGAAGAATCTCACTCCATAAGATTTGATTTTTTTCTCGCCAACGCTCAATATAGGAAATTATTTGTGTTCTGCCATGTTTCAAATATTGTAATTAAAATAATGGATTCCAGCATCTGATATCCTGATTCACATTTATCGTCATACCTTTTGCAGTATACTAATGTTGAATATTGACTTAATATGTCAACTAATTAATACTATTAATATCACCAGAACCCTTTGCAATTAGGTTACATGATAGATGAGTCCTATTTTAAGCATGTAAGTTGTTGAGTATTGTTTTCTACACTTAAATTAATAAACAATAATACTAATATACAATATTTGATAGCACCCTATCTAGCTAACATAAGCCACTCTAAAGCGCTTTACCGCACATAGATATAACAATTAATACAATTAGCATTTACATTGATCAATACAATGTGAGAGAATTGGCATGAGCTGTCATATCAGGCGCTTACTACTAGTCCTATGCCACCTGGCTAATATCTCCCTATGTACTGGAGATATAATGTGTTCTGTTTGTAGCGGCATCATTCACAGTGCCAACTCACTTGAATGCTACAGCACAGTTACCGCAACTCCACCCCGATCAATGTATACTCCACCTTGGTACATTTGTAGTTAGAGTTGTGTGGCAGAAGAAAAACACTTTCTTTGAATATTCACGCGTACAATGACTTCAGAGATCGAACCCCGGCCGCATGCGTGGAAGGCCGGAGTGTTAACCACTCGACCGATTCGCCAATAAGTTTGAAAACGTTTTAAATACATGTAGTCTTAAAGTAATGACAAATAATCACATCCTAGGGGGTAATAGACAAAGCTGTTACGGAGAAAGCAATTGTTGTAACGTGTTCCTAAGCGTTGATTTTTAATTGATCAAATTATCTACATATCCTGTTATACTTTAGCTTAGTCTGATTTCTTTCTCGACTTATAATACTTGCCGGCTCTATGGACAAAAAGATACATACCTTAGTCCAAGCATCCGGCAAACAACAGCAGCATCATTGTCATCCCATGAGTCGTCGCAAACTGTTCCCCAGCGACCGTCGTGGAATACCTCCACTCGCCCGGAATCAGCGTTACCGTTCACCAGACGTATATTAACACCCCCTTCCCCGCCACCACCTGTATCAATAAAATAGATCTTAATAGGAATCGTGTACATGTTACACCAAACAAACATATAGGCTGGTGAAGAATACCGAACCTAAGGCAAATGTGAAACGCAGTAGTGTTCCGTCTTGTAACGTCAAACAATCGACGACGTCCAATAATATGTGTGATATCTATTTGGTTCAAATTAACAGAGTTTTGCTTTATTTTTCAGGAGAATGACCAAATGACTGTGTTGTGTGATGACAACCAGAAATATTATTCGTGTGTGTAGGTTGTTGGTATCGACCAGAAGTACTGGCCTTGTGTAGGTGACCACTTGAAGTGATAAATGTGGATACAAGTAAAACATCTCGTGTTATTGCTACAGTTGTAGCATTTATGTTACCTGCCTAGTGCTTCTGAACCATAAATACATAACTTTTCTTGTACAGAGCCATTCAGTTCATGTCTGTTTATAACGCTCTATACCATTCTATGGTAAGGAGCATAGTTTCTGGTATTACTCATAGTCGCTCAAACGTTTTGAAAGCATGAAAGTCTATATATAGCTGTCATGAAGTTATCAAACCAGGCTCAAGATGTTCTCCACGTGGACCATATATGCTGTCGTTTGGTAAAAATTGTGTTTATCACACCTGTAATGTTTCTTGTTTGTTTTTGTGTTTACTTTTTTGTACTAATTTTTCATTTCTTACTTATGCTCGATTGTGCGAACAATAACAATCCGTATCCGCACAAACATTCGTTTCGAACAATATCAATGTCTATGATTAGCTTACAAGTAGTACTGGATTGGAACTCCAAATCATTATTTGACGTATTATTGCATTTATTTTACATGTTAGATCTACATCTTGCGGAACCCATAGTCTGGGCGTGTGTATATCATTCCATGTTTTTCTTCATATTCGATAATGATTGATTTTAAACAGATGTACATGTACAGTGTCCAGCCTGTGGGGTCCGCATCAGATGTACCTATGTATTTACAATATTGTGATCTCTTCCTGTCTCTGAATTCAGCAATTGTAAATATCAGCTTTCAATACACGGTTAAAGGGATACTCCTACAGGTATGTCTAGATGTGCATCCTAATCCAGGACCTAATACAAGTAGTGACCAATATATTTCTGACAATATTACACTCTTTCATATAAATACTTGTTCACTAAGGAACAAAATTGATATCATTGATGCTGAAGATGGAGAATGTGATATTGTCTGTGTTAGCGAGACTCATCTAAACACTTCAATAGCAGATGATTATATTCTGACTGAAAAATTTTCTACTGTTTTTCGAAATGATAGACGCAGACGAGCAGGAGGTGTTCTTATATATATATAAAACAATACTAATGCAAAACGCAGAGCTGATCTTGAATCTGATGATGTTGAGGTTGTATGGGTAGAAATTAAACTACAAAACAAACTTGTTGGGTGTTTATACAGGGCTCCAGTTTCTATAGCCAATTACTGGAGCAAGTTAGATGAAGTCCTTAAAAAAAGTCTGTGATCTAAATAAAAGTGTATTTCCGCTCGGTGATATTAACCAGGATATGTTGAAATTAATCCCTAATTCCCATCTTAAAAGATTAATGACCAAATATGGATTGGAAAATATTATTAATGAACCTACTAGAATAACCTCCACATCATCAACTCCCCTCGATATAATATTGACAAATGATACAATTAAAGTCTTAAATGTAGCTGTTCATTCTCCAACTTTTAGTGACCACTGTGCTATAAGTGCAACTATTTCATACAAGTCACTTCGGAAAACTGCTTTTAAAAATACATTGATATATTTTGATAATGCAGACTTTGTTAATGCTAATCATTATCTTTCAGCAATTGACTGGGAAGATGAGCTCAGTAACACAGATAATATTGAAGTTTTAAATGAAATTGTTTCTAGTAAAATAAAGACATGTATTGACAAATTTAGACCACATGAGACTGTAGTAATGAGACCAAATGATAAAATATGGATGAATAATGAAATCCGCCTGAAAATGAGACAGAGAAATAGACAACATTCAAAGGCTAAACAAATTAATACTCCCACTTCATGGGGAAAATATAGACAGCTACGAAATACAGTTATTACCATGATTAGAAATGCAAAACAAAATTATCTTTCAAAATTACAAAACTCTCTTACCGACAAAAGCATTTCCCCGTGAAAATTGTGGCGAATAGTCAAATCTGATACTGATTATCCTTTGGAAATTAATGGCGAATTGAAATTAGATCCTTTAGATAAGTCTGAATCATTTAACTCTTTCTTCACATCTATTTCTACAACTGATAAAACTATTGAAGACGTCGCATCTAATATTCCTTCTTTCCCCCATCAACCATCAAATATTATGATTACTGAGCAAGATGTATGTGACCAGCTCCATCTCAAAAATGTCAAGAAGCCCCAGTCCCTGACTCAATTCACCCTAAATTTATCAAAGGTGTATCTGAATCACTTGTTAAGCCTTCACATATACTTTTTAATAAATCTCTGGAATCTGGCTATTTACCTCAAATCTGGAAAAATGCTAATGTTGTACTTCTATATTTAAGGGCAAGGGGATGAGGAGTGATCCATCTAATTACGGACCTATTTCTATCACACCATTATTTAGTTAAATGCTTGAAAAGATAGTTTTTAAATATCTATTCAATTATCAGTCAACAAACAATATAATTTCCAAAAAATAATCTGGATTTCTCCCTGAAGACTCTACAGAGAACCAGCTATTAACAGTATATGATACGATACTTAAACAACTTGATAGAAGAAAAGAAGCAAGACTAGTTTTTTGCGATGTTAGTAAAGCGTTTGACAGGGTTTGGCATGATGGACTTGTATATAAATTAAAAAAGTATGGCATTAGAGATAATGTGCTTAACTGGCTCTCTAATTACTTAATTGATAGGCAGCAACGTGTAGTAATTGATGGATTTCAATCTTCATGGAAGACTTTATCAGCTGCGGTACCACAGGGTTCGGTCCTCGGTCCATATCTATTTCGTATTTATATTAATGACTTAGAAAAAGAAATTCAGTCTAATTTTTTGCTGATGATACTTCATTATTTGTGCTAATAGATAATGATAAATAGCTGCTGCTGAAATTTTAAATAATGATCTTAATAGAATATCTATGTTGGCAAATAGATTGGGTATACTTTTTAATCCCAACAAAACAGAAGCCCTACTAATTTTAAATAAACATGATACTGATGGACTACATCCTGACCTTATATTCATTAACAACATTATGACAATCGTAAAAAAGCATAAACATCTTGGAGTTTTTCTTAATTGTCATGGTTCATGGTCTGACCACATCAATTTTATTTATGAAAAATCATATAAAAAAAATGAATCTGTTCAGATCACTTAAGTATAGGCTCGACAGGAAATCTTTAGAAATAATATACACATCTTATATTCGTCCAAACCTTGAGTATGCATGTGTTTTGTGGAATAATTGTAATCAGACAGAATCCAATCTTTTTGAATCTATCCAGCTAGATGCTGCTAAAATAGTTACTGGATTACGTAGGGGTACCAGTCATGCTGTCATTTATAATGGACTAGGATGGGATACACTAAAGAAACGCGAAAATGACCAGCAACTTATGCTATTTTTTTTAAATAACAAACCGCCATACCCCGAATTATCTGTTTGAAAACATTGAACCTTACATATTATAAACAATGACTTAGTGACTCATGATATCCGACATCAACGTATATTTCAAACACCCATTTGCAGAACTAGTATATATTTTAACAGTTTCTTTCCTAGTATGATGTCTCGGTGGAATAGATCCGATTGTAATTATTATACTTTGAGGTGGTAAGTGAACTTAAAAAGCAACTCGTCCATCATGCCATTCTTCCTAATGCTGAGGATACATGTACAAATGCTTTTAAATATGGAGGGACTAGACCTTTTAACGTCATTTTATGTCAACTTAGAAACCATGCAAGTCAATTAAATTCTGATCTTTTTAGAGACCATCTTACTAATAGTCCTTCCTGTATCTGTGGCAACCATGACGAAGATGTGGATCACTTCTTTCTATCCTGCTCTAGGTATATAACCCAAAGACAAATTCTATTAGATTCTCTGTCTCATTTGCAGCTTAACATTCAACTAAACCTACATTTAAATCTCGACTTAAACCTGATTAAACATTAAGTAAATAATATCAATATACTAATTAGGTAAAGTAACCACCTTAGTCATGATCCTAATTCTGCTATTTGTGTATGTGTTCAGAAATATATTGAGTCTACTAACAGATTTTGAAATAACTTAATTCTAGTCCCACTGTGTATGTATACATGTCTACATGAATACTCCTTCAACACGGCTCCTGCTCGGGATTGTCAATGACTGGGTAAGCACACAGTGGTGGTGGTGGGTATGGACATTTTAGTGCTGCCCAGTTATAATTGTTATCTGGAGTAGGAGTGGTGATGAAGAACTAGTTGGTGTTATAAATTATTCAACTAATAATATTTGATATTTACTGTATTGAATAGATGTTACAGGTTTTGATATTAATATATGTTGTAAAATTTATGAAAAATGATTATTTACAAATGCAGTATACACACATGGCTTTCCGTTTTGAAATATATTTTATACATACTGGTTACTATGTAAAGAAGAAAAAAGGAAAAAAAACTGTATTTGTTTTACCTCAGTAATTTTAATTTTTTAATTTTTAATTTTGCTTTGTTCAGAGATAGATAGAGACTATTAAGTATTAAGTATTAAGTATTATTTCATGTTCCAAGCCAGTGCTAATATGTTAATGTATAAATTATATTTATGTTATTGTTTGAAATGTATGTAACCCAAGGGAGAAGGCTTGTATACGCATAGCCTGTTGCCCAATTCCCATTGAATCATTTGATTTAATAAAATATTTTTAAGTGAAATAAAGAGAAACATTGTGCTTGAGTGTTACTTAGTGACAGAGTATTGTTTGTGAACAGGAAGTATTGGTCCTCTCTAGTGAGTGACCAGTTAGGATGTACCTGTGCAAATAACACCCGCATCTTCACTATGACCGCAATCCTCGATTCCCCAGCCTCTGTGTTCGCACAAACCAATGTCTGTCTCGCTTCCAGTACACTGAACATTGTCCAACCAAATCTGGCCAGTTCCGGCACCAAAATAGCCCTCTGTCTTGTGAATCCCTTCTCTGCAAGATTCAGTAGGGTGAACATGCATTGTAATAAATATATAATCTATGTCTCATCTGTATGATCTACATGACCGCAAATTTGTCATATGTGCATGCAAATCTTATCTTTAATTTGGACGTCATGTCTGTAAAGTGTTACAAAGACATATTAATAGACAGCATCTATGCATTTCACATAAAACGTACAGCTTCACTATAACTATGTTGATTTGTGAGAAAAGCAGCTGTATAAATCATATTAACAATCTTTTGTAGCCAAATGTTAAAAAAAAATGCTAGAAAGCACCACATATAAAACTTCCTCAATTCATTAAAACACCAAAAAAAAACCATAAGTTGTAAAGTTAGATTGGTAGCGTCTACATGTGTAGCTCTATGTTGTGTGGTAGTGAGGGTGTTCCCTCAGACGTTATCAAAATCTACTTAAGGTATATAAATGCAAAACAGTGTGAAAAGTAATTAATCACTGGTCACAATATCAGCTCATACATTTGAGTTTGTATAGTAACATATGCATAATATCCACGTAGTTCACAACTTACAAGTGTTTACAGTTGCGTTCAGTAGTGTTCTCAAGCTGATCAAAGCAGTACTAGACGACACTGGAGAGTCAAGGTACTTCATCATTGTGTAGTGTAATTAATTATTTGACTGAAAGTCGGTAACATCCTCAAATCAGACTATCTGATCATGAACTCCTTATGCTGAACGCGCCTTTTCGTAATTTACTATTTACTTATATTTCTTATAGCAGGTGTTGGCAAATGGACCTTTGTGTCAACCACATTTGCTATGATTGTATGAAAATCCGAAATGCATAAAAACATTTCTATACAATTAATCCTAAAATGACACCCCTCTTTGACCTTTTTTTAGCTCTATGCACTTTTCCTTGAAATATTTATGCAACTTGCTAAATGAGGTAAAACAATCTATCCCTGAATATAATTTATTAGTGTTAAGCTTTTTCTTTATGGAGACTTGGTATAAGCATGTCGTAAGAAGCTATGGAGTTAACGTTACTCTGCTTATTATACATACATATCTGTATTTATCCATTTTTATAAAAACAAAAACAAAAATAAGATAAATTGTTTACAAATATAAAATATAATACATGGAAGGCAGTATGATACACAATGAGTGAACTTACGTGTATCCAAGCATCCTACACACGACCGTAGCGTCTACAGTGTCCCAGTAATCGTCACAGATCGTCCCCCACTCATTATCGTGGAACACCTCCACGCGCCCCTCTCGGTCATTTGACCCTCCTACCAAACGTACTCTCCCGTCACCTCCTGAAACACGGTTGTAATATATATGTACCCAATGCAGCTAACAATCGATAACAAACAGAACAAATATATATAAGACAACTTCAATTGAAGACTAATTCATATTCAGGTGCTCACCATGCGGTTTTCCGTGTGCCTTTCTGGTCATGTGCCTTAATAGTATTTTCGAGAGAAGAAAGTACTTCCTCTACTCTCTAAAACGCATCTAACCTAAAAGCATTCTATTGCGCATGTTAAGTGAAAGGATATTTTTCTACATGTAAATTAGAAGTCTTTAATCATCTCTTTAAGACTTCACTAAGCTATTGCAAAACAATGTCGAGCCTCCTCAAATGGAACTTGATTTGTCGTAATTTTTACCGTAAGGGATTTTGCAGTAACACCTTTCAAACGAGCAGAGTCCTTCTTTGACTCTCAATACGATAGCTTGGGCCGTCGTAAATACCATCCCATCCCAAAATCGTCGCTTAGTTTAAACAAACAAACTGGTTTGACGTTACTTATGTAAAATGATTATCTCTCCAGTTTGAAGTCGCTATACTTTGTCGTCAAAATCATCATCAGAAATTATAATACTATTATATTCTGAAAACCATTCACAGGATAACTTTAAAATCGTCCACAAAAACTGTTTGATCTTTGGATACTTTCTGAAATATGAGACTATAAAGTAAAACATATTCGATGATCAAAATGGGATTTTCACATGGATTAAGTATTCAAAAATCCCTGTAACATTACAGATAACTTGAATTATTTTAAGCTCTCATTAAGATGTGTGTCAGTCGAGCTTGTTGTGAAAATATCACAAATGTGGGTATTTTTAGGAAGCGCGTCAATCGTTTTGAAAACATTATATAGTTTCTGGAGAGCGTGTTCCCAGACAAAAGTATTGTTGCTATACTCTTATAGAATACTACAGTTAGAATTAAAATAATAAGATTTCTTTTGTTTTTCCTCAAATCTGGTACGTTTAAAAGAAAGTTATTAAGAACAAATATAAATCCAATTTGTGTGGCATTTCATTATGGCATTTCCTTTTTTCCAGAAAACCAGCTGATTCGTGATTCTCACAATCATGACGAGTACATATGTTACAATATCTACCTCGTGGCGTGGTGGTTGGTGGTTCCTGTGTTGACGGCGGAGGTGTACATCTGACACCCGCGTCCTCACTGTGTCCGCAGTTCTCAATCCCCCATCCTGAAAACGGACACTCATCTAATCTTGACTCTGTTCCAACGCATGCCACATCGTCCATCCATGTTGGCTCCCTTCCCTCTCCAAAGCTTGCTTCTCGCGTGAATGTACCGCCCCTAAAAATTATTCAGACACGCTATAAGATCAATAAAGACATGCACTCTTCAAGTTCAATAAAGACATGCACGCGTTAAGTTCAATAAAGATATGCACTTTTCAAGTTAAAAGAAATATGCACTCTTCAAGTTCAAGAAAGTTACATGTATGCGAACTTCAAGTTCAATAAAGACATGCACTTTTCAAGTTAAAAAAAATATGCACTCTTCAAGTTCAAGAAAGTTACATGTATGCCAACTTCAAGTTCAATAAAGACATGCGTGGTTGAAGTTCAATAGATATGCAGGCACATTTCAATGTAGGGAGAGGGGGGGGGTCATTAATACAATATTGTGATGAACGGAGATTGTTACATGTTTACATTATTCATTATTTTGATGAAATAGTTCCTTGCTTTTAGTTTAGAACATACAATTAACAACAAAAGCAACCATAACATTAAAAGTGAACTGTTCGTGTTAGACCCTGTAACTCTTAAAATTGTAAAATGCCCAACCACTTACAGTCACATCGTACTTCTCTGTACATCAACATTTCTAAAATCTATAGGAAAGCTTTCTGTTTACATTCAATACTACAATCCGAATGATCGTATTTATTCTTTTTTTTTTTTTTTATTAAAAAGTCTATCAACCAACCCACCCTGAAGGAAGAGGGATGGAACCGAAACCGCATGGGAAAAAAGTGGAGCGATGATTTACTATAGTCTTTAAACTGTACAAATAAAGATCGCATATAATAAAATGGCATAGTTTTAATGGGGTTTATCAATAAAGTAGTTCAATTTGAGTACAAATTCTGGGTAAATAAGTCAGCTGATTTCAATACTGATATCAATAATTTTGAAAATATTCTGAATCGCCCTTTTTTATTAATTACTTCTTGTTTTGTTATTGCTATGGTTTTATTTATGTATTACGTCCTGCTAACAGCTATGGTCATTTGAGGACGTGGTAGTGGAGGAAAGCCGGAATTCCCAGAGAAAAACCACCAACCTGGCAATTGTTGTTATGGTTACTTGAAAATGCCATATATGACTGCTGTCCAGCTATTGACGATACAACTGTGGTATACAGGCCTATGGTTAATGTAAACAATTACCCGTATCCTAATTGTCGACAGACCACCATAGCATCATTGTTGTCCCATCCGTCGTCACATACTGTGCCCCAGGATCCAGAGTGGTAAACCTCGACCCGGCCTTCAAAATGAGAGTCGCCATTCACCAGTCGGATTTGTCCTAGTTGAAGAAAAAAATGAAATATCATACTTTGTGGGGTTTTTACGTCTTATCAACATATATGATCATTTAAGGGCGTTCCAGGTTTTGGTGGTGGAGGAAAGTCGGAGTTCCCGAATAAAAAAAACCAACGGCCAGTACCTTGCGACTGCCCCACGTAGGTCTCAAAGTAGCAGAACGTCAGACGCCTTAACCACTTGGCCTCCGCGGCCACTTACAATCATTATGGACATTTTTTCTGATTTCAGATTTAAAAAGGTCTTCTGCATGAGGCTCAAATCCCTGCTTCAATTGGAGCCTTGAATTCTTTATAAACGACTGTCTGTCTAGTCTATTTTGGAATTATTTTTTTAACTCATTCATCCCTGAGTGCACATTTGAACTCTTCTAATACAAAGGTTGGAATAGTTCATTATCCAGTTACAGGGGTGAATGAGTTAAGCGGTAACCGGAAACTCCGGAAAATTGTTCCAAGTATGCACTAATCTAAGTAATAGGGATTAATTCCTTTATCTATTAAGGAATTACCAGGAATATTTTGGGAGTTATACCGTATATACATGTAGCAAACAAGGGGCCTAGAACGCCTGCGTCGCTAACCTGGATATTGAAAGAATATTGTAACAACACTTGTTCATCTTTACTTAAGCGCTTGTGTTATTTGCTTAAATATCAAAAACATGGTGAATGGCGCTTGTGGTTGATGAAGTTCAAGGTAAATGAAGCATTATATGTTAGGATTTAGAAAGTGACCACGGGATAATCAATGGCAATACCTTCACCATCAGGTGGTGTTGGCGTAGTAGTGGTGGAGGTAGCGTCGTACGTCTCACATTCAACTCCTACATCCTCCCCGTGAGAACAGTCTTCCACTTCCCATCCCGCAAAGGGACAATTTGCCAACTGACTCTCGTCCCCGTTACAGTTGACGTCATCCATCCATGTTGGTCCGCTTCCCTGGCCGTAAAACCCTTCTCCGCGAACCGTTATGGCACCACTGCCAACAGTGATAGAACGTTAAAATGATGTTACGGTTTTTATCAATTTATGATTATTGGCAAGTGAATGGTGTGACAAATACCTCGTTACATATAGGGCGAACAGAACGATGGACACAAGAAAAGTATTGAAAACTATTGGACCGACCATTCCAGTACGCATCTTGAACCTCATACCTATAAGTATAGCTATGCAACAATAAAGACTTTTTCAGAGCAAGTACGACTAATCTAACGCACAGGTCAAGAAAATCAGTTTATGTCATATCAAATAATAATTGTTTCACTCTATGTATTAACCTCTTAAAATGCACATCCATCCGATATAAACTAGTATTTCCCATGTATGTTTCATCTTGTCCCGTTCCCTCGCCTCCATATCTCCTTTCCCCGTTCCCCTACCGTTCCCTCGCCTCCATATCTCCTTTCCCCGTTCCCCCTACCGTTCCCTCGCCTCCACATCTCATTTCCTCGTTCCCCCTACCGTTCCCTCGCCTCCATATCTCCTTTCCCCGTTCCCCCTACCGTTCCCTCGCCTCCATATCTCCTTTCCCCGTTCCCCCTACCGTTCCCTCGCCTCCATATCTCCTTTCCCCGTTCCCCCTACCGTTCCCTCGCCTCCATATCTCCTTTCCCCGTTCCCCCTACCGTTCCCTCGCCTCCATATCTCCTTTCCCCGTTCCCCCTACNATACCGTCCCCTCGAGATTCATAGTCATCAACGTTTATACAAAGCTCAAGCATAAAAATACCTTGGATGAGTTCAGGTTCATGATGTCAAGGCTAATAACACTGTTTCTATACATAAGTCAGATATTGCTTTTTCAACAAGATTCCTTGTCAGCAATTAACCGTCTTCGGGGGCGGGTTGGCGGGCATTCGTGTCTTACATTTTGTCTACACATGTGACTTACCTGTATCCTAGCTATTTATATTCTATACGCACGCGACTTAAACGTTCTCTGTCTGCATTATACACGTGCATTACCTGTGTTATATCTATATAAGGAACGTGACTTACTAGTAATATAACTGCTTATATACGACACGTGACTTACCTGTACCCTAACTGTCTACATAGGACACGTGGATGCCCTGTACCCTAGCTGTCTACATACGACACGTGACTTACATGTACCCTAACTGTCTACATACCACACGTGGATTACCTGTACCCTAATTGTCCACATACGACACGTGGATTACCTGTACCCTAATTGTCCACATACGACACGTGGATTACCTGTACACTGCTTATATACGACACGTGACTTACCTGTACCCTCACTGTCTACATAGGACACGTGGATGACCTGTACCCTAGCTGGCTACATAGGACACGTGGATTACCTGAACCCTAACTGTCTACATACGACACGGGGATGACCTGTACCCTAATTGTCTAAATACGACACGTGGATGACCTGTACCTTAATTGTCTACATACGACACGTGGATGACCTACTTACCTGTACCCTAACTGTCTACATTCGACAATATAACTGCTTATATACGACACGTGACTTACCTGTACCCTAACTGTCTACATAGGACCCGTGGATGCCCTGTACCCTAGCTGTCTACATGCGACACGTGACTTACATGTACCCTAACTGTCTACATCCCACACGTGGATTACCTGTACCCTAGCTGTCTAAATACGACACGTGGATTACCTGTACCGTAACTGTCTACATACGACACGTGATTTACCTGTACCCTAACTGTCTACATGCGTCACGTGGATTACCTGAATCATAACGGTCTACCTACGACACGTGATTGACCTGTCCCCTAACTGTCTACATACGACCTGTACCCTACCTGTCTACATACGACACGTGATTGCCCTGTACCCTAACTGTCTACATACGCCACGTGACTTATCTATATCCTTACTGTCTACATACGAAACCTGACTTACCTGTACCCTTACTGTCTACATACGACACGTGACTTACCTATATCCTAACTGTCTACATACGAAACCTGACTTACCTGTACCCTTACTGTCTACATACGACACGTGACTTACATGTTCCCTAACTGTCTCCATACCACACGTGGATTACCTGTTCCCTAACTGTCTACATACGACACGTGAATGACCTGTACCCTAACTGTCTACATGCGTCACGTGGATTACCTGAATCATAACGGTCTACCTACGACACGTGATTGACCTGTACCCTAACTGTGCACATACGACACGTGGATTACCTTAATCCTAACTGTCTGCATACGACACGTGGATTACCTGAATTCTAACTGTCTCTAACTGTCTACATAGGACACGGGGATGACCTGTACCCTAGCTGTCTACATAGGACACGTGGATTACCTGAAGCATAACTGTCTACATACGACACGTGGATTACCGGAACCCTAACTGTCTACATACGACACGTCGATGACCTGTACCCTAACTGTCTACATGCGTCACGTGGATTACCTGAATCATAACGGTCTACCTACGACACGTGATTGACCTGTACCCTAACTGTTTACATACGACACGTGGATGACCTGTATCCTAATTGTCTACATACGACACGTGATTGACCTGTACCCTAACTGTGCACATACGACACGTGGATTACCTTAATCCTAACTGTCTGCATACGACACGTGGATTACCTGAATTCTAACTGTCTCTAACTGTCTACATAGGACACTTGGATGCCCTGTACCCTAGCTGTCTACATACTACACGTGGATGACCTGTACCCTAATTGTCTAAATACGACACGTGGATGACCTGTACCATAGCTGTCTACATAGGACACGTGGATTACCTGAATCCTAACTGTCTACACACGACACGTGGATTACCTGTACCCTAATTGTCCACATACGACACGTGGATTACCTGTACACTGCTTATATACGACACGTGACTTACCTGTACCCTCACTGTCTACATACGACACGTGGATGACCTGGACCCTAGCTGTCTACATACGACACGTGGCTTACCTGTACCCTAATTGTCTACATACGACCCGTGAATTACCTGTACCCTAACTGTCTACATGCGTCACGTGGATTACCTGAATCATAACGGTCTACCTACGACACGTGATTGACCTGTACCCTAACTGTCTACATGCGTCACGTGGATTACCTGAATCATAACGGTCTACCTACGACACGTGATTGACCTGTCCCCTAACTGTCTACATACGACCTGTACCCTAACTGTCTACATAGGACCCGTGGATGCCCTGTACCCTAGCTGTCTACATGCGACACGTGACTTACATGTACCCTAACTGTCTACATACGACACGTGGATGACCTGTACCCTAATTGTCTACATACGACACGTGAATTACCTGTACCCTAACTGTCTACAAACGACACGTGGCTTTCTTGTACCCTAACTGTCTACATACGACACGTGACTTACCTATATCCTAACTGTCTACATACGAAACCTGACTTACCTGTACCCTTACTGTCTACATACGACACGTGACTTACCTGTACCCTAACTGTCTACATACGACAAGTGCATTATCCTGATCAAAGTTGTCATCACACACTGTTCCCCAGACATCATTGTGGTAGATTTCTACTCTCCCAGCTCCGACTGTACCGTCCTTGGTATTAATGAGACGAACATCACCTGGAAAGACACAAAACCTGAGTTACTCCGAGGCCGTCGCCAGAAAACCATGTCCATGATGGTCGTAAAATACATTATGAAACTTTCAAGATGAAACAAATACTAGTTTTTTGTTATCCAAAAGGCTTATAAACCAAACGAATGGCAATTGATGGTATGACTCTTTTCTCGTAACAGATAGTAACCATGAAAACCATACTTAAACAAATGACATACATGTATAACAACTAAAATGGAATTGCTGATTACTTGTGATGTAAAATTATTGTTATTAAAACCTATAGAAGTAAGCTTTAATGCAGTTAATATACTCAATAATCCATATCTACAACTCAGTACCTAACACATTCAGTAAGTTATTAGCGTACCCTCGGCGGCACTTGGTGTGGTGGGCACTGTGTCCGGCTGACAGACCACCCACACATCCTGTCCGTGGTTACATTCTATATCACCGTCGTCCATACTATGTCGACAGTCCAACAGGCTACTCTCGGTCCTAGACTCAGAGCAATAGAATGGGCCCCATACCGGTCCCGTGCCCACATTAAATCCGAAATCATAGCTCCCCTGTCTAAAAATAACAATAAAACAATACAATACCATTAATACATTTCTAAAGAACATATATTTATTATGTAAATGAAGGTTGAACTGCAAATGTTTCGCTTCAAACTGACATAAAATGATATAAAAGAGATTCGACATTCCCTCAATATTTTGATTTTGAGATTAAGCATACTCTTTACATGTTCATGAAAACATACATAATCTTGACTTTTTTGTGAACATCAGTAAAACATACTTGATCTGTTTATCAAATTCAATTTAACATCCTCATACTTATAGAATTAATCAGCCTTGACCTATTACTGAAACTCCTTGACCGTTCCTAAGATTCACTCGAGCCATCACTGGTTTCGGAGATTAGCATGACTTTGAACTGTTAATACAGTTTAGTATGATCTTGACCTGTTTATGAAATAAGTATAAAAAAACTTGATCTTTTTATGAAATAAAGTGAAACTTCCACTTTTAAAACATCCTTACCATTCCATGAGAAAAAGTGTAAGTATAACCATACCTGAAACCCATCTGTCTACAAGACACTATTAGCTCGTTAAGGGTGAAGTGTTTCCCGCACACACTTCCCCACTGTTCATTGTAGTACATCTCCAGACGTCCCTCTGACACCGATGGACCTTCCGCAAGACGTACGCTTCCACGCTGAGCTGAAAGTAGAAGCAAACATGTTGGTTTGGCCGGGTGTTTTCATCTTCAATAAGATTGATCAGTTTGGTCATATGTACCGAGGTTTTACTTCATTCGCAAACAATGTACGTAAAATATGTCACGATGTTGTATGTAAGTTTGGAGAGTGATCGCTTTTAAGCGATCCATTGACTAGTCAAACCATGTACACATAATACAAGCCATCCAAAACCTTTTCATGACTTTCAGTCTCAGGGAGACAACAAGTGCAGGAAGCCTGTTATTTTTTTTATTTTATTTTTTTCGTGTATCATGACTAGTGAATCATCACGAATAACATGACGTTTACATAAAACGTTTTGTTTAATACAGCACGATACTTGCTGACAGCATGTCTATGCGTGGCAAAAGCGAACCACAAACTTAGAATATATCTTTCACTTTGTCAGTTTCGTTGTACTGATACTATTATCTATTCAATAAACACCATTGATGCAGTTTCAATTCGGTATAATTTACTGATTTTTATCAGTATGGGGAAAGGCAAGATATTTCTTTCAAAATTCTGCCAAGCGACAGGCAAGCCCCCTATTTTTTAATTTTAGAATAGACTGTAGACATGTCCGTGCATTAAAACACGGTGGTCTGAGTTTAAAATTTAACTGTTTGATACACACAGGTGGGAACCTTTCCATTTAAATGTTGTAACTATCTTATTAAGACACCCTGTAAACAACAGGTATAGCAGAGGAGAACACTCACAAAAACAGACTTTCGTGTGAGATACTATAACGCTAGTTTCACCCCTTACTTGTTACCGGGTACAGCGTGATCTAACAGAAACAGTAACAACAAATCAATATTTACTTTAATATACATAAGCAATAACTAATACTAAATACTACATTATGGTATTTGTTTGTAAGATGGAACATTGTTAAAAACGTCTATGCTTGACGTTTTCGAATGAGTAAATGTTGTCAGCATTATTATGCACGTTTACAATCACTTTTCTGTACCTAGACAATAGTTGGTAACATCTGTTTTACAATTACCTATCGGCAACCTTGATAATTAGCTGGTGTCATCTGTACGCGATAAATTTCCTTGAAATTAGAATTTGAAATGCGTATATTTGGGGAATACATTGTATCGATATATCGGTATAAACCCCATTTCTAAGAACATTTAGAGTATTCTGAAATATCATTTCACAATGTATAGACTTTGTCACATTGGTATCGTTGATTAAACACAGACTTGTCTGGGGTATATCATGTGCGCTAAACATGAAAATATCACTGCCATTTTCAAAGATATATTCATTTTGAGCCTTAATATTTTATCGTGCCTTATATAAGTGGCACTAAAGTAATCCGCAGGAAACTGATGTTTTAATTTCACAGTTTTTGTCAAGGACGATAGTCGAAATATAGTTACATTTAAAACCCGGTATTGATATATGAACGTTTTCAGACGTTCTCAAAGACATACATTGTCAAACGTACCGAAACAAAATAGGAACAGAAATGTCTAATAATCCAATACTAGAGCTCCGTTGATATTCCAATACAAATAACTAATTTGTCTATCATATTTTGGGTTACGAATCCCCTTTAGACATCGTGGCAGCTCGCCTCTCTAACTTCTGAAGCAGGGCTTCTGATCCCTTACACAAGTACTGGATCGTGTCTCAGTGTTCACGATCCCTGCCGTGGGATAGCAATAAGAGTGACGCTTACAGCTGATCCGATGTATGCGATCAACTTAATGTCGTCCGCTATTAGCTTTTACCTATGGGTGAAGCGTTCAGCCATCCCTCGTTCTCCTCCGTCTCTGATACATAATGAAATAACTGGTGCTGCCTTCTTGAACTTAACAGTCGAACACCTGTTTAGTTAATATTCATCTACTTACTAAATTCAGACATCTTGTTTTTGAATTTGTCTGACAAGGTCTACAATTTCCCAATGCTTGTTCTACTTTGACGAGTCTTACGATTAATCCGTCAATATCTATCAAACGAAATTCAAATAGCTCAATGTGGGGGTTTTCAGCCTGATCACAATCTCACAGTTTTTTCCAGTATCTGATGTCGGATTTGTTCCGCCATAGATCAAGTATCTGATCAAGTTTGCTTGGGAATCGTGAAACCATTAACAATGTCCGATAAATGTTATTACATTCTCTATGGAGCCGATAAACATCCTACATAAACGTCTGTTGATATCTTGTGACTAGCAGGGGTAGAAGAGTTTGGTTTTCCCGTTAGGGCCGGAATATAATTTTGCACCTGTGTTTTTGTGTGTTTTTTAAAATAAATAAATATCATTATAAAAGAATCTGTGTTCGCGTACAAATCCCCTCAGCTTTGTGATAACACAGTCTTAACACTTGTTATTCATATAAACCAAAAATACATCATATAGTTTAAAAACTGAGAGAGAGAAAACGAATAGGAGACGAATAGCTTTTTATCGCCACTCTCGAGAATTATAAACACAAGGGTAAGCCAAGCGTTTTGTGTTGATGTTGAACTGTCACTGTAGTTTACATTAACGTACTTACTTAAGATAAACGATGCCATCAATCTGAAAGAAACTGTGCTAAGGTCACTATTAAGTCATATTGTAAGTTTCCAAAGAATTGTTCTATATAAATTATAGCTTGCGATGCATGACGTAGACTTTTATTTGCTCGAAGTTCGAGTATTTGAGCAAAACAATAACCTCAAATAAAAACATAATCCACGGGTGTCGAACTTGGAGCTGTGTTCACTGTTAATCCCACGGTGTATAGACGCTGCTATCTTAGAATTATAGGTACAGAGAAATCAAAATGAGACATGAATACCCTGACAGGGGAGGTAACTCTCCGCCGGAAAAAGATTTAAGTTACTTCATCTTTTACGCACCTGCGAATCTATATCCGTAATACAGATTAATCAGAAATATTCTGTTTATTGAATTAAGTATTTGAACAAATCCTACTGTCATTATACATGTAATAATAGACACTGCTTAAAAAAGTTAAATTAGACGTAAGAGTACTGTTCAGGGTTTCCATCAGCATCAATAGGCACATGCCAAATAGCATCCCTCCACACTTAATTGATTTGACGAATTTAATCGGTTTCCACCTGATCCATTTGATTGCCAAATAACAAGATTCTAACGTTTATAATTCTGAACAATAACACGTTTTTAACTTATACATTGTATGACCAATGCAACCTTGGAAGTGGGTCAACGTAATTTACTTGAACGAATTAGTTAATCTCTTACATTTACTTCATTGAAATGCAGCTGACTATCTTGACTTTATACCGTATTGTTTCTAAAATGAAGTCCTTCGAAAAGAAGGTTGACAATGACAGACAACGCAAGACAAACCAGCACTTTGGCGTCTAGTGATCTAAAAACTAAGGAATAATTTATATAAATATGATTTTCTATTTGTCCGTTAAGCAAAGTTGTTTGAGGGTATTTATTATCCGAGGCCATATCCCGCTAAATTGATATAGTAATCTGCAAGTAAAATGCATTGTCGTGCTTACCCAACAGTAAATCAATCTTCCAGTAAAATACATTGCCGTGCTAAGCCAACAGTAAATCAATCTGCCAGTAAAATACATTGCCGTGCTAAGCCAACAGTAAATCAATCTGCCAGTAAAATACATTGTCGTGCTAAGCCAACAGTAAATCAATCTGCCAGTAAAATACATTGCCGTGCTAAGCCAACAGTAAATCAATCTGCCAGTAAAATACATTGCCGTGCTAAGCCAACAGTAAATCAATCTGCCATTAAAAATACATTGTCGTGCTAAGCCAACAGTAAATCGATATGCCAGTAAAATGCAATATCGTCCGAACAACAGTTAATCAATTTGTCTGTAAAATACAATGTTGTAGTAACCTAATAGTTAATGGACCGTTCAATGAAATACAATGTCGTACTTACCCATCAGTTAATCAAACTGTAAGTGAAATGCTATGCCGTATTTACCTAGAGTGTATAAAACTGTTAGTGAAATACAATGTCTTACTAACCCAAGAGCGAATCAATCTGTTAGATAAAAACAATGTCTTACTAACCCTAGAGTGAATCAATCTGTCAGATAAATACGATGTCGCACTAACCCTAGAGTGAATCAATCTGTCACATAAATACGATGTCGTACTAACCCTAGAGTGAATCAATCTGTCAGATAAACACGATGTTGCACTAACCCAAGAGTGAATCAATCTGTCAGATAAACACAATGTCGTACTAACCCTAGAGTGCATCAATCGGTCAGATAAACACAATGTCGCACTAACCCAAGAGTGAATCAATCTGTCGGATAAATACGATGTCGCACTAACCCAAGAGTGAATCAATCTCTCAGATAAATACGATGTCGTACTAACCCAACAGTAAATCAATCTGTCAGATAAATACGATGTCGCACTAACCCTAGAGTGAATCGATCTGTCACATAAATACGATGTCGTACTAACCCTAGAGTGAATCAATCGGTCAGATAAATACGATGTCGCACTAATCCTAGGGTGAATCAATCTGTCAGATAAACACGATGTCGGTGAATCAATCTGTCAGATAAACACGATGTCGCACTAACACTAGAGTGAATCAATCAGTCAGATAAACACGATGTCGCACTAACCCTAGAGTGAATCAATCTGTCACATAAATACGATGTCGTACTAACCCTAGAGTGAATCAATCTGTCAGATAAATACGATGTCGCACTAATCCTAGGGTGAATCAATCTGTCAGATAAACACGATGTCGCACTAACTCTAGAGTGAATCAATCAGTCAGATAAACACGATGTCGCACTAACCCAAGAGTGAATCAATCTGTCAGATAAATACGATGTCGCACTAACCCAAAGTGAATCAATCTGTCAGATAAATACGATGTCGCACTAATCCTAGGGTGAATCAATCTGTCAGATAAACACGATGTCGTACTAACTCTAGAGTGAATCAATCTGTCAGATAAACACGATGTCGCA